GCGAGAAGCTCGAACCGATCGGCTCCACGAATTCACGCCGAGCATGCGAGCACGCGGGCGGTCATGCGTCACCTTGATTGATGCAAAGTCGACCGAACATGATGCAGCAGAAAGCACAGATGGACGGCACGCACGGCACAGACGAACGACGCAGGGACGAGCAGAGGCCATGCAGAATGATGCAGAGGCGACGGCGTGCAGGCAGGCAGGCCATGGCAGGCGCCATTCATCACGTGGTTTTTGTGACGTATTTGATTTAAACTATTTAGTCGTTTTAAGTACTTGAAATAGTTTTAAAGCATTGCCATTTAAAAAATAAACACTTTACACGGAAAGAGTTTTAAGTAATTTTAACCAAATTGCAGAAAAGCGCCACGTAGCGGAGGGTATGAAACGCACTATGTGGGCCGCGAATCGGCTCCTGTGTCCTCTCTTTACGTTTACTATATTACTCTATGGTTTCACTGCTGTAGTTCTGCGTGTGTCCCGCAAATCGGAGACGGCCGTCTTACCCAGTGTATGTAGCGCTGCTGGCACTGCTCCGGAACTTCGCTGTTTCTAGCGGTTTCGTTAGCTCGTTTGATAAAATTAGTGGTAAAAACATCAATGCAACCGAAATGTTCTCCACGTTTGGACTAGAAGACGGCATTACCGGCGGCCTTCGCTGCCGCTGAAGCTCAATCAACTCAACATTAATTTATTAAACAACGTGCGCGATGTGCTCAAAAAACGAAACCGAAAGAAGATTAGTCTGGAGGGCGAAATCTTTCTCTGGTCTGCCTGGAGGAGGAAAACGTCTCGGAGAATAAGGACTTTAATTTTCCTTTCATCGGTCTGGGTTTGTTTATGTGTGTTTTGGTAAATAAAAAAAAAAAAAAAAAAATCTTTACAAAAAACAAAAAAAAAAACAAAAACAAAAACCACTCCTTTGGGGATCGAACCTTTGACCATTTGGTACGTAGCGCGATGTTTTACCGCTGCGCCAACTGAACAAGGAGGAACCCGCCCTCCTCCTTTCATCTGAACTGCCGTTCCTACCTTCTCTGGGCCACTTGTCCGCATCAAGGAGGAACAGTCTCTGTTGCTACCTTTCTCCTCCTTTTTTCTTTAGAGTGTGCTTGCTGCTGCGAAACAGCGCGATGTTTTTCCTTTGGCATTGAAAGAAAAGGAAGTAAAAAAGCCGCTCTTCATGCAAAGGGACGCATTTTTTTGGAGGGCGATGCGGAACAGTGACGTCCATGACGTCACTGCCGAAAACGTAAAAACAAGCTTTTTTTTACGTTTTGCTGAGAGCTTTTGCATGTCGTTGTTTGCACGTGGTTGTGGTTGTGTCTAGTGTTGGGGCGGGGGGAGGCGGCGGTCGCGGCGTGTTATTAACTGTTGCTGTGTCATACTCCAAAGAAGAGAGGCCAGATAGACGGAATTATCTTACGCCAGATATACGCCAAGAATGTACGTACGACAACAGCTCCGGAGCCGTCTTTCCACGATAAAATCAAGATGACAGAGAACGTCGCTCAGTTACTTGGTAGCGACGACCAATTGACATTCATTTTTCTACGTGCTCTTCTCGCGGGTCCCGATTTCAAGCAGCAAGAAGAAAGAAAGAAGTACTCGGAACCGGCCACGACGAACATGGACGCTTGATCCACCCACCGACCGCCCGAGCGAGCTCGAGGCCCAGCAGGCACTCCTACTCGTCGCAGCGCTGCCGGCGTTTCTCCGACGGTCCTTGGCCAAGACCGTCTGCCCTCGACCGGCTGGCTTTCTGAATGGAATACGCGCCCGCTCGACCCGTGTGGACCCTTTCCGTATTATAGTTCGATCGCTGACCTCAATTTTAGATTAAGGGGTCATTTTCTTCCCCTTGTCATCTCCTTTTCCAAGGCAGCGGTGACGAACGCTGTCGTCGATTCTATCTCCTTGTGTTGTGTGATATGGAGCTCAAATATACCCCGTATGGATTACTTTCGCAACACGGTGTGTACACTTTGTTATTTGTGGGCCATTTTTATTCTGGCACGCTTGTGGCCGCTTTCACGCTCAATTGTTTCCGATGGTACATTACTGTCGAGCTATAACAGTTCGTGGGAGCTACGCAATGCCGGTCCCACCTTTCGTTGCTGAGTGTCACGTGAGTATCGACTGGTACTCGTAAAAGATCGGTCCCGACGCACTTCGATCAAACGTGCGCGTCCGCTCCGAGTGTGCACAGGTATTGACGTGGCTCTTGCTGACACTGTCGTAGTTCAAACGTATCTTCTTTAATGTCGGCTCGTTCCTGCATCACCGAGGCCGCGAAAAACGCCGCGGCGATTTGTTTCCATCTACGTCGCTTTGCAAACGACTGGCACGGGCCGTTTTTCACCAACTATGATAGTTGTGTTGACTCCGAAGGAACGAGCTGGGAGCATACTGTAACTCCGGAGGACTACGCGAAGTGAAGACATCAAGATGTCAAGGTAACGAAACATCTGCAAATGGCTCTATTGTGACTAAAACCGGACATGACGTCACAGCCGTCAAACTACTACTCTGCTACTTCGCTTTGCCCCGTATCAACCTCCAAAAAAGGCGTCCCCCAACCAAATGGTCGGGCAGACGATCCAGAGTCATGGACTCTGAGCGACGACTTGATTTGGTACGACCTCAACGCTTTCTGTTCAATATGCGTGACTCTGGTTTCAAAGACACGCAGTTAAAAAATAATCACCTTCGAAAGTGCTCTGTGTCTCAGCACCTCAGCCTGGGAACAACGTTCGCCGGATACCCGGCCAACCTTTATATACGCAATTACTGCATATATCTGTGTGGACGACTTAACGCCAGCAGAGCGGTAAGTTGTCCGGGAACAACGTTCACCGGATACCCGGCCAACCTTGTTCCCGGACAACTTACCGCTCTGCTGGCGTTAAGTCGTCCACACAGATATATGCAGTAATTGCGTATATAAGAGCATTTGTCGCGTTTCTATTTCAGCGTCCCACATGTCCCCCGTGGTACTGTTAATGCACACCTCACCACAGGAACCGGAACCGCAGTGCACGCGCTAATCCGCAGCAATAACCGCCGTATAAGGAGCGCTAACAAGGCGCTACTCAAGCGCTAACAAGGCACAACTGAAGCGCTACTAAAGGCCTGTTCACACATACAGCGGAGCGCTAAGTTAGTGCTACGTGAGCGCTCAACGGAGAGCTCATGTGGCGCTCCCTAGCGTGCGACTTTGTTCTAATATAGCGCGTGATTAGCGCTTTATTAGCGCCTTGTTAGCGCTTCAGTAGTGCCTTGTTGGCGCTTCTTGTACCGCGGTGCTGCGGATTAGTGCGTGCACTGTAGTTGCGGTTACTGTGGTTTGATGTGCATCAACAGTGCCATGGCGGACATGTGGGACGCTAAAATAGAAATGCGACAAATGGTCTTAGTTACACAATTAGTGCATATGTGTGTGGACAACTTAACGCTAGAAGAGCCTTCTGTGTGTGGGAAATCTTTCGCCCCCGAGATACCGACGGATATCCGGCGAACTTTGTTCCCAGGCTGAGGGTCCGGGACACAGAGCTCTTTCGAATGTGATCATTTTTTAGCTGCGTGTCTTTGATTCTAGGGTGAGGCATATCGAATAGAAAGCGATGAGGTTGTGCCCAATCAATTAGTCGCTCAGAGTCCATGACTCTGGATCGCCCGCCCGACTCTTTGCTTGGAGAACGGCTCTTTTACTTCCTCTTCTTTCAACGCCAAAGGAAAAACAACAACAACGGAATCGTCGTGCACGCGCTGTTCCGCAGCACCAAGCACGGCACAAGGAGCGTGAGAGCGCTTACACTGCGCTGCTGAAGCGCTAAGCGAGCGCCTACTGAAGCACTTCTGGAGCGCTAACTGAGCGCTTGGAGCGCTTCTGAAGCGCTAACCGAGCGCTACGTCATGCGGTAGTCGATGCCACACGAGCGCTGCTTCCAGCGCTCATGAAGCGCTAACTTAGCGCTCCGATGTATGTGTGAACCGGCCTTAAAGCGCTAACAAGGCGCTACAAAAGCGGAAATTGCGCGCTATATTAGAACTAAGTCACTCGCAAGGAAGCGCCACATGAGTGCTCCTTGGAGCGCTCGCGTAGCGCTAACTTAGCGCTCCGCTGTATATGTGAACAGGCCTTTAGCCTGGCCCAAGCGCCATCTGGCGCTGTAGATGAGAAATTAAGCCACCGCAGTACGAGCATTAGCTTGGTTGGTCAACGTGTATCAAGCAGTAATGATTACAGAAAGACACACCGGTGCTATGATCATTCAGATACAAATCGGGAAGGGAACCGTGCCCAGAATCCCTTGGTTCTGCAGGGCGCGCTTCCGGTCTACATGCTGCGAGCTGCGGCTCGCTAACACACTCGGCCACCGTACCCCAGTATTGTTCTTAATGAAGACTTTCAGCAAGCCGATACCGTGTTCCGCATGCCGCACTGCCGACGCCTTTTTAGCATGATTTGATGCGCGCGCCCCGCAGTCGCAGTATCACCCGGGCGCGCTTAAAAGCATGCTTCAAACGTTCCGGTGGTGCGGCATGCGGAACATGGGAACGGTTTTTTAAAGTCCCTATTAAAATCTGAAACGTCTACGCGACGCGGTACCGTCAGTCGTTTTTATCACTTCAGTTCAAGTGAACAAACTGCCATGAACACAGGAACAATGTTTCGTGCTCAGGTAAACTTTTTAAAATATTGCTTAATTCGAATTTATTATCAGAATGAACGGTGAGATATGTAAAGACCCTCAGAAGAAGGTGGAAAATGAAAAAAAGCACTTCTGAATTCCCATACTCTTGAGTGTAGGCAATGTTTTTGTTCTCACTAATTTAGACCAACAAGGTGCGTACTTAGTAGTGCTAATAAGTTAATAACATGGTTGACGCTAATACATATTTTTTCCGTTTGATAATACGTTTATTTACAAGCTGATGAAATGAATTTTGAATAGAGTATATGTTTACTCTTTCTTGCGGTGACATTACAGCCCCCCCCAAGCGTGAAGAAACAAAGGATGGCTTCGAGGTCTCTTTCCAAACGAATCACTTGGGTCATTTTTTACTCACCCTTCTGCTACTAGGTAAGTATTCTTACGGAGCTGTAAATATGTCGAGTTCTCGTGACTCTGCGGGCCAAAAGGACAAGCTGCACGACAGATTCTGATCATCATTTCACTGATGTGAATTAGTAATAATGGTTAGACAACAAAACTTCTGGGTCAAAAATGTCTGGGTCATGCAGAGAGTGACTTCGATTAACCTTGCCTCTATAAAAGCAAGCCGAAAAATCAGCGCCGGCGGTTAGAATTCTCAAACGTTCATCATATGTGCTTTGAGGTAGTGCATTTATTTTGATAAACGTAAGGCGGAGTTCTTTTCCTGAAAAAAATTCTGAGACCAACAGACTTGCCGGAGTCAACGACAGACATTTTCGCGGACAATCAAGACAGCGATGGGTTTAAAGTCCATAAAGCCGTTCAGATAGTTGTAACTTGTGGCGCAATGACCCGATAGGTGCCAACATCAGATTACTTACTCCTTCTTGTACGGGCGCCACGTATGGGGAGATGTCAGAAGGCGGTTTGTCACCTTACCCCTTTACTGTGGTCAGTATCTTTTCTTTTTTTTTGCGAAAAACCGAGCCGTGTTGTCAATATCTGAAGTTAAAAAAATGGTTAAAATAATTATCAAGGAAATATATTAAATATTGCCGTCTTCTATGGATTCAAAACGTGAAGTTTAAACGCACAAGGTAGCGTGATGTGGGGCAAAATGAGAGGCGGGGCAAAATGCAAGTTTGTGTTTAGCGCCATATATATCTCCTAGACAAGCATTCGGAGTACTTTCATACTCCACAAAAAAGTGCCATGGCCTCTCCACTTTACGTCTGTAAAAAAATTAAAGCTGTCGGCGAGAGTCTTTCATAGAAAAATGAATACGAGGATGACCAGCTTAACCTCTCGACCAAAAAAAATAAAAAACGGGCTCAAAATTTAGCTTGTGCTTGTATTTCAAGACGTGCACTCCGGTTGGCGCTCACTATTCTGCTAAGATAAGCATTTTATTTTATTGGTATGCGTTATTAGTGCCCTGCGGACCAAATTTGAGCCATCTCTCGTTGCGTCTTTTTTTTTTTTTTGACAAAATAATTATTTGCCTAGCGGAATAGGCGTTGGCCGAGACGCGACAATCTCGCATTCTATGACGCGCATGTCAATAACGCATAAGAGTTCTGAGGCATATTCTTTTTCTCCCAGTGTCTAGCGTGGTCCGAAGGTATAACAAAAAAACAGCAAGGGCTTCGTGGTGCGAAAGTGACATGACAAATGCTCTTGAAAATGTCAAGCAATAGCGCCACTCCTTTCGCACTGCTGTCACATTTTCACACGTACCAAAGGATGCGCTTCAGAGGCGAGCAAAACGACTCGGGGAAGGCGAAGAGCAAGGGCTCTGACAGGCTTGAGCTGAGCTATACTTTGTTTCACCTTGTGTTGTACCGCAGGGAAGGCTACAAGCGCGAGCTCCTTGCTCTAGGGCACATCTCGGCGGCACAAGTTCTCGTGCACCAAGGGCAGCTGCCAGCGCTGTGAGCTCGCGCTTCTAGCCTTCGCTGCGGTACAACAGAAGGTGAAACGGAGTATAGTTGGTTCATAGTTCACTTAAGGCCAGCTGAACTAGAAACAACATACACATAAAAAAAAAGACGAATCACACCGCTTGACTAACAACTGCTTTTCTTTTTCTTCCTCTTCTAGTACAAGCCACACTTGAGGGAACAACTTTATTTTTCTCTTCTTTGCTTTCCAATTCACCTTAAAATATTTTACGCCCGATGAAGCATTTTTTTCTTCCTCGTGCAGCATGATAGAACGTGCACTAATGCAGCAGTCGCCTTTTTCCTCAATCGCAAGTGCCTCTAGGATTTCACCTCCCGGTTTTGTCTTGTTCCTTGCCACGACGTTTACGTCGTAGAACCGTGCCGAAGATCGACACGCACGACAACGGGTTGGCAAGTGTCCTCCTGCTGACAGAGTTTTCACTGATGCACCGTGCTCCCTCGTCCGATCGTTAATGCATCGCCTGGTTTGTCCGATGTAACTTCGGCCGCATGTCAGCGGAATGTGGTACACCACCTCTTTTTCCACAGGTCGTATGGATACTTGTGAACTGTGCCACACCTCTTCTCATTGTCACTTCGCTCCTGGTTAGCCCTGCGACACGTGAAATAGGCCTTGTTTGGAGCCGAACTCACCACCTGAACGCCTTGCCGTCCAGCAACTTTTTTCAACTTGTGGGTCATCCCATGAACATGGGGCGCTACCACCACCGCATGTCAAGTCTTTTTCTTTTTCCTTTGTGCTTTTATTCGTGCACCCTGATCCGCTCTAGATGGTCCTGCACAGCTGCTCGTAAATCGCTACCAGGAGCGATATTAGATACCCAGCTTCCTGTAGTCTCGAAACCTTAGTTTTGAAACTTCGCTCGACTTGATGGTGACAGGTCTTGTTAAGGACGGATATAAGGGCTGTGGTGGCCACCCCTCGTTTTACATTCTTGGAGTGCCCCGAGTCAAAAGGTAGAAAGCCTTTGCATGCCCTGGCTTGGTATCTCCAGGTCACGGGGTTACCTTTTAATTTCAATGCCAGGTCTAGGAACCTGATGGAATTATCCACGGGGAGTTCATGGGTGAATATGAGCCCAAGCAGCTCTGTTCAAAGCATCGCATCACTGTGCCTCGGTACCCGTCCTTTTCGTCATCTACTTTTGTGTTGCATAGAATTAAAAGAAATCGTCGACGTACCCTAAGGTAACTTCCATCCTTGGTTCTTTCAATCTTTCTTGAATTGCATTTCCGCAAGCCGCGAGGAAAACATGGCTGAGGTACGGAGCCACGCGTGACCCATTGCATACCACTTGTTTGTGCATATGAAGAATTCTCGTGCGACACTACTGTTGCCGTCAGGTACACACATAGGAGCTCCTAGAAACTGTCCAGGTTCATGCCGGCTGTGTTCTGGAAAGCTACGACACCCTGCTGTTCGATGGTCTTTCGAAGGCTCTAAAAACGGCTGGGCTGCAAAAGACGTGTTTTCTCTGACGAGAAAAACAATTCGCGCCAAGAGAATATATTGGGCATTGAAAAATCGCTCTTAGGGCTCACCTACAAAGATGTGAGAAAGCTCGTTTGTCAATACTGCGAATCAAACAGTATTGTCCATATATTCAACAAAGAGAAAAAAAATGGCGGGCACTGATTTATTGCTCTCGTTCACGAAGCGTCACGAAAAAAGGTTGTCTCTTCAGAAACCAGAAGGCGTCTGGTTTCCGAAGAGACATAGCTCAGTCGCTTTGAAGGTTGCAAGTTAATTAATACTTCGACCATACTGGAGTACATTATTTCTCATTAGCTGCTGACGCCTTCTCGTATTTTTAACATGAATGAGACTGGTGTGAAAAAATTTTCTAAGCCTTCGAAGATAATTACAACAAAGGGAAAACGAACCGTCTATGCTTTCATAAGTGAGGAGAGAGGGCGCACTGTAACGTTTGTTTTCTGTGCTAGTGCAGCAGGTTTGTTTCTTCCACCTGTGATGGTATTCGCACGCAAGCAAGTTCGGGCATTACTGACTGAGCATGCCACTGCCGGAACACTGCAGTGCGTTTCAGACAATGGCTGGGTAAACGAAGGAACTTTTCTTCTCCTTTTAGAGCACATCGTTGAAATCGTTCGGTGCACAACTGACCACAAGGTATTGACGATGCTGGGTAGCCATACAAGTATTAGAAAGCAGCTCAGTACGCCAGAGAATACGGGATGATCCTGATCTCTCTTCCTCCACACACAACGCACAAGCAGCAAACCCTAGATGTCAGCGTTTTCAAAGCATTCCAAAGAACTCACAACAATGCATGTCAGCAATGAATGGTGAGTCACCCGACAAGACGGATTATAATGAAGCTCATCGGCGAGCTGGTTAAAAAAGCATTGGATAGGTCAGCATGAATCACCAACATCACCAACAGATTTTCGAATGTGGCATCTGGCCATTTTCTCGTGAGCCAGTGTCTTTTCTGAATTTTCGTGCGTGTCTTTTCTGAATGTCTTCTCTGAATTTTCATTCGGACACGCTTTCTATCAAATCGGGTGTTCCTCATGGCAGCATTTTAGGCCCATTTGCTATTTATATTAGACATAAACGACATTGTGCATGTGGCCAAAAGCGATGATGTAAAGCTGATAATTTACACTGATAATACAAATATTTTTTTCTCCCATAACAATCTTTGTACTTCTATTGCTACAGTGCATGAAGTGCTAAAACAAATCGCCGCCTATACGCTTAACAACAAGCTAAAATTAAACTGTAAAAAGACCAAAGCTATTTTGTTTAGGCCCCAAAAAAGGAAAATAAATAACCTACCTCATCTTACAATAAATAATGAAGAAATTGAGTTCGTAGGTTGTATTAAAACTCTGGGTGTGTTGTTTTCTTATGATATGAGCTGGAATCCACACATAGACTATGTGCAAGCAAAAATATCTAAAAATGTAGGCCTACTTACAAAGTTTAAAAGTTTACTTCCTACTCGAATTAAATTAACTATATATAATACATTAATTTGTTCTCACTTAAATTACTGTAACCTGATATGGGGCAAAAAAAAAAAATTAATCTGAATAAGTTGCATCTATTACAAAAGAAGGCCGTACGTGCAATTCCAGGAACTCCATTTCTTCATCCCACTAAATCACTATTTAAATCCCTAAATATCAAAACCGTCGAGCAAATGTATCCTTACAAGCTTCTGTCAACGTATCAAAGGGCTCTTCAGCACAATAATGTTCATTTTATTAAACTAGCCAACCTAAAACATCGCATCATCCTACTCAACCTAAGACAAAATGAACCCTGGATGATTCGCCCAACGCGTACAAATTACCCAAATCAGACGCTCTACTTCAGATTGTCCACCATGTTAAATAGTTTGTACAGAAAGGGTCGACATTTTGAATCACTATCACATAGGGAATTAAAAGAACTTAATTTTTTATGCGATTTTTGAATACTGTTTATATTTTTCGTTATGAACAGATTGTATTATTTCATGTACGATTGTATCATTGCTTTAATTAGTCGAATTTTTCTTTCACTGGCCTGTGTATTTTTCGTCTATATGTTTTCAACAAATTGAGTATTGTATAAATCAGGTTTTTGCGTTGGTTTGTACTCGTCTCTGTACACTGTGTAGTTGTAGTCCAAATTCTTGTTGTTAGATTGTGTTTGAAGCTGTCGCGAACTGCCCGGGGGCTGGGACCCTTGTCAAGTTGCTCTTTAGCAGCTTTTTGTCCCAGTCCCTGTTGTCATATAAAATGTGACACCATATAAACTTGATTTGATTCATGATCCTGACTTCGATGACCTAGTACCAACAAGTACAGGAGCAGAAGAGACATTCGTGACACGAGAGGAACATTTTCATAGTTCCCGCACTTCACCGAACAGCCCCGGGAACGGTGGAAACTCTGCTGAAGCAGTCACGAGTTTCGAGAACATAAAAAGGGAACAAGCAGGTTGGATAGCAGCACTGTGTTGACGAAAGCAGACAAGAGCCAGCGTTCCACAGCTCCTCTAAAATCCGCAAAACCGAAGAGAAAGGTCATTAGTGACCCCCGAAGAAGCGCGCAGCGTCCGAGCGTTCTGTAGGTCGTACGATGCACACCACAAGAGACTGACAGTGCGTGGTATACAAAAAAACTTTGGAGCCATGCAGCCCGCATTCAATGTAGATCCAGTGCATGGAATGCAAAGAGGGGGCTCATGAAGAGTGTGTTGCAGCTCACGCAGTGCGTTTCAAGTGTTTTAGTCGCAAAAACTAAATGCATATCAGGTTCTTCAAGTGTCTTATTTGTCTTATTTTACCCCACTACGTTGTCTCGTTTTGCCCCAAAGAGCGGGGCAAAATGAGACATGGTGTCACTTTCAGATATTATAGTTTTGTTTAAAGTTTCACTTCCTCCAGCTAAACAATAGTTAGTAAGCATAGAGTCAAGACATCTAGGAATATCTCCATGCTGTGTATTTTTACACATTTCAGCCAAAATAAAAATTAATATCGAAATTAAAATGTAATGTCTCATTCTGCCCCACCTTACCTCTAAGCTTAAAATCGCGGATGATCCAGCCGCTCTATTTATTTATTTATTTATTTATTTATACATACCCTCAATGCCTCGGGGGCGTTATAGAGGGGAGTGGGTCAGTACAAGTGGTTTTGAAGGGCTAGTCGGAATTGCTTGGAGTCGGGTATGGTGACTATGGCGTCCGGGAGGTCATTCCAGTCCACAACTGCTTCAGGGATGAGGGAATGCTGGTGTGCTTCACTTGATGACTTGGGACGGGCGATCTTGCATGAATGGTCTAATCTTGATGATATGTAGGTGGGCGGGTTCAGAAGAGATATTTTCAAGAAAGGTGTGTAGAAGACTTTATGAAGAAGAGAAAGGCGGGAAATTCGACGGCGGGAGGAAAGTAGAGGAAGGTTAAGACGAGACTTCATTGATGACACACTTGAGGTACGAGAATAGTCATTAAAAATAAAGCGAGCAGCACGGTTCTGAACGGATTCAATGGAGTCTGTTAAATTTTTCTGATGAGGATGCCAGATGGAGGACGCATATTCTAATTTAGGCCTAACAATAGTGGTGTACAAAATACGTTTTAGGTTTTCAAGTGAGGATCTAAAGTTTCGGCGAAAGTTTCGGCCTAGAGAGCGGTTTGCTGAGGATATAATTCTTTTAATATGAGTATGCCATGATAGATTAGGTGTGAGATTCAAGCCTAAGTATTTGTATTGGTTAGTATAATCAATGGGGACAGAGTTCAAAAGAAGTACAGGATAGGTGATTGACAATGAACGAGAAAAGCACATGCATTGACATTTGTTAGGATTTAAGGACATGCGCCATGTGTTACACCATTCAGAAATTTTATAAATGTCGCCTTGAAGCGTTACAGTATCATCTGTAGAGGTTATCTTACGATAGATTACACAATCATCGGCAAAAAGCCGCACAGTGGAAGAGATGTTGAGAGGAAGATCATTAATATATATTAGGAAGAGTAATGGGCCGAGTACTGTCCCCTGGGGGACACCAGAAGAAACAGAGCACAGGGAGGATTTGGTGTGGTCAGCATAAACAAACTGACGACGTTGAAGAAGGAATGATTCGATCCATTTTAGTATGTTAGGGTCAATTTTTAGCATAGAAAGTTTCAGCAGAAGGTGTTTTCGTTGAATTGTTGGCAGCCAAAATGACGAACAGATATTTTGAGGTGCTTTAACTAGTTATATATCGTCTCTTGGAAATATAGTCTTGGTTCGTAACAATATATTACGTACGTCCCTTTTTTTTAATGCGGGATCCATGCTGCTTTGTTTAAACAGAATTCCGTTGGTGCATAGGCAGAGGGTTTTGGTTGCATGGTTAAGATAACACATGTTACAGATTTTTAGGAGCCATAAAGCAATCAAGGAACACGTTTATAGCATTTCCGAATTGATTCCTGCTCTTTCTCGTTTGCATTCTTTGTGAATCTTTATGTGCCTTCTGGGACTGATTTTTTATGGAATTATTTTCTTCGCAGACTTGTTAAAGAAAAGCCGACCCAGCCGAATTGTGGTGGTGGGCTCCGTGGGGCAAAACTTTGCCAACTTGGACTGCGACAACCTTATTTTTGGGGAGTATTGGTTCCCGCTTCTCAATTACTGCGCAACCAAGCAGTGCAACATGCTTTTCACCGTGGAGCTCAGTCGGAGGCTTGAAGGCACGGGTGCGTCTGTTACATTAATGAACTCTTCTGAGTGCTTAATCTCTTTTAAAATTTAATATTCTAAAAAAATGTTAATCTTCTAGGAGATAACGAAAACTGAGAGTTTACATGAGTGACACGTCTGAAGTCGATTAAGCACAATATTATTGTACCTGGATCTAGCTGCCTTGTCGCAGGCTACTTCAAGCTAGATATGGGCTATTAAACGTAGCGTTACTTCGATAGGACGTCAGTTTGTTTTTCGCGATTCATTTTGAATTGGAGACGTAAAGGTCATTAGTTTGTGAGGGTGATTTCACATCTTGGTTTCGTTAGACTTATCTTGCAAAATCAAAATATTTTGTTGCTCTGGTCATTCCAAAGCTACCTAAGTAGTATATTTGTACACAATACACTTGAGCCTTAAATGAATAATTTTAATCAGAACATTTTTTAAATGGTGGTGAGAGACGGAGGTATCTCTTTACCATCAGTTTATCAGGCTTGGCGAACATTAGATGAGGCGAAAATCGTCATGCTAAGTTGACGAATTTGCTGAAAACGTTTAACTAGCTCTTTAATATTGGTTTTAGGGGTCATGTTATAATTGCAAGTGCTGCCGAGAGCTACAATTAAAGGCCACACTAGTTATAAAAATAGCTTAAAATAGTGTTATTTTTAGACATTAATTGACTGATCTTCGCCCTTTTAAGGCCGATCTAAAAATCGCTAAAAAAAAAGAGTGCGTCAATCCCTGCCCACAATAACGCTTGTAAATGTGACGTAGTGTTTTGGATCCCCTCGTCGCTTGTGCCGTCGGTGCACTCCCCAAGGACGGGCTGCCCAGATAGTGTCCACATGAATGACACGACGACGTCAGTGTTCCACGCGTCGTTGTGGGCAGGCTTGTGCTCGTTTTGTGCCCGATGTCTAAATTTGGCAAAAAAAAAACAAAAAAAAAAAACTCGAACCTGATAAGTTAACATTTAAATTAGCCATTACATTAACGCACATTTTTCTTTAAATTGTTATGACCTTTCATAAAAATTGCCGCCCATACTGGAATTATAAGATGCTCCCTAAAGCCAATAATTAAAAGTTAAAAGATTCGAGCTAATTAGTAAACTTACTGCGACAATTAGCTACTCCCAGCCCTAGTTTCATTGTGAATGGTTGGCGGAGGCTAAAGAAAAACATTGGCTAAGAAGCGTTTTCACGAGAGGAACATCAATGCACTGGTCAGCGATAGCTTCGCTGTTTCACAACATTGAAGTCCTAGTTGATCGTGTACATATTTCTAAGTATTCTAGACAAAAATAAATGTGTGAACCGACGCATAATCGTACCTTGGTGGCCCAGATTATATCATAATATTTCAGTTGATACCTCTGATCATGTTGGCCCCCGATCACCGATGTCTCCGTTAGCTCTCATCACTTCAGTGCCCACTGCCACCACCCAACTATTTGTTGTTTTAATTTCTCTGAGTACCTAAATTCACCGCTATCTTTGCCGGAAGTTTGAAACGTTGAGAGATTTGGAAAATAGGCAGTGAGCTCTCGTGGCGTCTCATAAAACTCAAGTCGCAATAAACTGTACTACAATGGAGGCACTAAACATATGCCCAAAAGCGGCTACACTTCGCATGATTTTTATGGTCAAAATCAAATTCTTATCTTAACGTTAATATTTACAATGTGCTGTATAAAAAACCCTATCTGCAAAAATGGTATATCATGGGCTCAAATCTCAGGTTTATTAAGTGAAGAATATAGCTTAAGAAAGTGGTTCTCAAGTGGGGGTCCGCGGAGCTTTTGGGGTCCGCGAAAGCATTCTAAGGGTCCGCGAAGCCCAGCCTCATCAATCAAGCACGTCAATAGATGCTGCCTTTTCTCAGATTGAGAGGAAACGTTCCAATTCTCAGGTGCGTTTTCTCGTGTATATGTCAATAAGAGAAGTTTACTTCACACTAGCCTTTAACTATATTCGTTTATTATATCACTATTATAATTAACCGATATATAATTTCCCTTCCCCACTCGGCGAACGGGGTTTTCCATCATCTCCGCCGATCCACGAGGGGTTCGCGAGACGTCAGTGGCTGAGAACCACTGGCTTAAGATATCATGGTCATTTTGCTTTTTTTAGGCGTCAATGTGACAATCAGAAATAAACCTATCACGGAAGAAACGAAAAACATCTCGTGGACTTGTTGGAAACGATTGGGTTTGCGATTACAAACGGTAGCGTTTTTAATACTTCTGTATTATTTACGCAGGTGTGATAGTGAACTGCTGCCATCCAGGTTTGGTTCGGTCGGACCTGGTTAACCGCAGTCAAGACATCCAAACCTGGTTTATGAACCGAGTACTGGACGCTTATGGCAAGGTTCGTGTAACTCCCAATCCATAGAAACTGTGGAAAAAGAAAATTTGCGGCGAAGAAATAGTGATCTCAATCATACTTGAAAAACCCCGAGGCAAGAGAAAAGGAAGGGGCAAACACAACGAAGTCTTAAATCTCAAGTCTCCAATATTTGTCCCTTCCGTTTTCCTTGTCTCGGGTCGTTTTTTTTTTTTTTTTTGTTTTGTTTTAAGTGTGAACGTTCACCAGCTAGCTTGCGCCACAACTCTTATTTCTGTGATCCCACTACTGCTACCACATCTTCCCTTGGTTAGTGCGTTTCACCAATCCTATCTACTTAGTGATAGAGCTTACTTGGATTGTACATAGAGCGCTTTGTAATGTTGTCATATAGGGGTGTTGTTGGCCACCCGCCTTAAAGGAACGCTTGAATATTTTTCTTGCTTTCAATAAATAGAGCTTGAGGGGGCTGAGTCAGGACCAGTCAAGTTTGCTTGGATGGCGTTTTATCCTCAGCTGCCACCATAATTACACGGTAAATAAAATTAATAATAATAGTAATATTAATAATAACATTAATCTTCATTTCATTCATGTTTTATTTCATTTATTTAGATACCTTGATAACACTATATCAGGGGTGGCCAAGCTGCTGCTTGCGAGCCAAATGCGGCTCTTTGCGTGTTAAAATGCGTCTCGTGGCTCCCTCCTCTAACCCTCCCCCCCCCCCCCCCCACACACACACACACACTTTACCGCCTCCCTTCCGGTCACATGAGCACTTACCCAAAAAAAGAAATGGAAAAGTTCAAAATCAGAAGGCAGGTTGCGGTTTGATATTATTGCGCTACTGCTACCTTGGATACACTTGGACTGTTTTTGAGTCGGTTAGACTCAAAGTAGTTTGAGTTACGTTTATTCCTATAGACAAAAGTTTGCCCCCCCCCCCCCCCCCCGCGGCTCTTGGAAGTTTCGTGGTTTTGTTTGCGGCCCTTAGGCCGGGTCTGCCTGGCCACCCGTGCACTATGTGATGACGGGTCTTTCGAAGCCAGTAAAGGCTTGAAGGACAGAACCCAGCAAATGGAATGTAACAGATCGCACAGAGGAAGTCCGTAGAGTACATGTTTAAAACATATATCGCGCTATACGAGAAACAAAAAATAATCACATCACAATATCACAGAAACATATTGGATACAAAATATCACAGACTAGTACATTATTGAAATTGCACATTGAATTAGCACGTAAAACTGTTCAATAGATTTTTCAATTTTCTCCAAACATGTAGCTTCAAAGAAGTGCTCGGGGAGTCTGTCAGAAATGTATGGCACATAGTAAGAGTGCTCTCGCTTGCCATAACTCGTAAAACACTGGCGGATTATAAAGCGATCAGAGGTACGTAAATCTCTACAGGGCACAAAAGTATGTTTTAATTCACTACACCAGAAATAAGAAACCACGACACATTGCAAAAAAAGTGAATGGAAGCTAGGCAGTTGTAGAGCCTCAAAGATGTCAGCTTCTGATGAAAGATCATAATGATAACCAACACTTCTTAACACATTCCTGAGAATGCGGTCAATTTTAGTTTGCCAGATTTCTGCATAGTTACCAAATAATGTGATGCCATACCTTAGTATATGCTATAAGCAAGAGCATTAGCAATTGATTTTCTTATGGCAAATGACATAAATACACTATTATCATAACGAAAGCCGCACACCCTGGGAAGCTTGCCAGAAACATGGGTTAAACGCGTAGACCACGACAAATCTGAATAAAAATATATGCCTAAGTACTTAACAGTGTCAACACATTTCAGGGAACTACTTGTACAATCAAGGCAGCTGAATTTGTGTAACAGAAATGATGAGTCGAATTCTAAATATTGTTCAGCGGACTCCTGAAGCGAAAACGACTGGCTTTGAATGTGTTAATAGTAATATAATTGTCATAAACCAGTCCATTATTCGTGCAGAGTAATTTTGCAATAACTTCACAGCTTGGCGAAAATTAATGTGACTAGAGACAAGTAAAGTATCATCCGCATACTGAAAAATGTTTGCCACTAGTGAGCCTAGTTGAGATATCATTAACAAAAAGATTAAATAACAATGGAGACAAAACCGATCCCTGGGGCACACCGGCTTTTAGCATCAGCCGAGCACATTTGAAATTTCCGAGAGATACAATTTGGGAGTGGTCAAGGAAGAACATTTTAAGCAATGGAGTACATGGTCCACGAAAACCGCAATTCTGCAGTTTGAAAAGAAGTATGTTATGACTGACCGTGTCAAAGACCTTGGCGACGTCAAGAAAAATTGCGCATGAACATAAGTTTCGATTAAAAGCACCGTGTAGTAGGTCAGAAAAATCTTCCAGCAGTGGTTGAGTGCCCTTTCCAGCAACAAAACCATGCTGGTTAAGAGACACGATGTTGGAAGTTTCAGTGAAGCTGGACATTACAAGATACAAATGCTTCTCCAAAATCTCCACAATGCAAGGTAAGACAGAAATAGGGCGATAGCAGTCAGGCTTGTTAGGCGTTCTTCCCTTGAAAACAGGCTTCACAAGTGCGGTTTTTAGTTCAATTGGGATGACGCCAGAGACCACGAACTCATTTATCATGGTAAGAAGTACTTGCTGAACGTGTCCAAAGTTTCGGCAGAAATCATTTATACGAATTGTATCAACACCAGAAGATTTATTGCGTTCTAAAGAAAACAAAATGGAGTGCAATTCGCCTATCGTGAGAAAAAGGAGAAATACGGAGTTGATGCAATAATATTAGCGCTCGAGGCAAGCGGTTTGAAATCACAGTTTCTCGCAAAGCCCGATGACGGAGCAAAAGTTTGTTAAAGTCGTTCACTACTGATTGCAGATTTGTGCGGACGTGTTCTGAATGGAGTCAAGAAGCTAAGCATTTCCTCCACACCCTGTAAAAGAATTAATCAACTTCCATGTTTCACGTGGATTCGATCTGGCCTCAATTAATCTTTGCTGAAAGTAGCTTCGTTTGGCAGACCATATGATTGCATCAGCTTTGTTCCGAGCGCTTCGATACTGTCCTTTCAAGAGCAAATTGTTTGGTGAACGACGTGAACGTAGTCACAACGTATCCTTTTCTTTGATTGCAGTCGTAATATCAAAATAAAACCCTGGCTTGTGAGACCGTCGTTTGAAATTAACCTCTTGCTTGGCGGCACAATAAGAGGATTGAAAAACCTCGACCAACACTTTATAAACATCGGAAGGTTCTACGGATATCAAGAGTTCGTTCCAGACAAAAGGAGCGAGCAAACCATCGAAGTTTACCGTATACGTAATTGAAATACACGAACAATCGCGCCTGGTAATAATAATAATAATCATCATAATAATAATAACAACAGAGATGTTTGCGGAAATAAAAATATTATTATAATAATGATTTATTTATTTATTTATTATTCCTTGATATTTACAACTTGTCAAACAGATGTTGATTTTTTTTCTTCATGGTGTGGCAGTAGCAAGAACATTAGAGAAATAAAAACACCGCTTGCCCTCTTACCTCGTATAGAGAAAAGGCGGCCCTGTGATCTGGAGAGGATTATGTGCTATGTGCCGTCACTGTTTTTTAACATAGCCACGCGGTGGGGTCGGTAGAGAACAGGGCGCGCGCCGAGATCGACGCATTGTTAAGGTTTTGCTATTACCACCATCCCAACGGTTGCACACGAGCCACTACTTGTACACATATGGAGGCATTGATCGCCACGAGCCAAAATCGACTGCCTACACTCTTAGAAAAAAGGGGACCAAAAGGAGGTAACATACCACCTTTACCACCCTCCTCCCGGCCAGGGGGGAAGCGCTCCGCTTGTTACCTCCTCAGGCGCAGCGGACACTAGGAATGCGGTGCTACAAGGTGAAGTTCGCCTCGAAGGGGCACCAAAGAGGTAAATATTACCTCCCAGAGGGTGCACGTGTTCGAGCACTGCCAAAGCCTGGGCGCTGCGATTGGCTGTGGAAAGGCGCAAACCAGTTCGCTAATTGGTCTCCTCGTATGACACGTCATTCTTCGCGCATGCGTGGGAGAGCTCTCGCCCGGCCGACCGGGAGCGTCGGCGCCACAGGTCGGCGCCTTCCCCGTCGACGCTCCCGGTCATAACGGCATAACGGTCTTTCTTCTCGAACGTTCGACGGAGGCGTCCCTGCGCAGGAGCGTTCCTTATTGTTCTGTTCGGCTCAGTCTCTTCTTACGAGGTCAGTGAGAGCACTGCATTGACTTCAGTCGAAGATCCAAGTCGTGTGCACCGTATGCAGGTAAGGAAATATTCTGTGCGGGCGGCAGTTGGCGTCGGTTATGACCGCCCGGGAAGGCGACCTCCGTCTTCCTTAGACAAAGGCTTGGCGGACATGTTGGCACGTTTGAAGGCGTCGAGCGTTCGATAAAATTAGTGTGTGGCGCGAACGCAGACACGGTTTAGACCATCAAAATTCATAAAGAGCAAGAACAGAAATGACTGTCGCTTGCACTAGCGCATATTTAGAAGGTTGACATTCGCTAACCAGTGGCGTAACGAGCAGTTTTTCCCGGTGTATGTGTGTGCGGGTGGAGGAAGGGGAGAGCGGCGGTTCGGCAAGCCGGGCGGCCGGGCGACAAGGCTCCTTTTGAATCGGGGGTCGCCTAGGTTTAAGGCGTGAGGGGGTAGGAGTTTTTTTCTTTTTGGGGCCGTTGGTGTGTCGCGTCGGACGTTAAATTGAGGATCGGATCAAATATTTGAAAATCTCATAAGGTGGTTGGTGTCTTTTTTTTTTTTTCGCAGAGCAGTAGTCGATCAGGCATTCATTGGCGGCACCGGCCAACAGGCGCGATTAATTCTCAACGTCGTTGATATTTGTAAAAGTCAGTGTTGAACACTGATTTTTAATAGCAACGTTTTTGTTTGTTTGTTTTTAATTTAACGAGGTTTAATAAATAGTTTGGCAAAATGTCACGTTATGAAATACCGAATATAAATGTCTGAGCTAATTAT